CAAACTCAGGGAGGCAGTGAAGGACAGGAAGGCCTGGCGCAATATGGTTCATGGGGTCACGAAGAGTCGGACACGACTTAACGACTAAACAACAACAACAAGGATACATGACATTCCTTGTCTGAATCCCAAGTCTCTAAACCACATTTTAGGAACATCAGAAACAATGGCATAACATGGATCTTAAATAATATAAACCAGACAGCAATTGCAAAAGCTTCAGACATATTGTGTATTCATAATCAAATCGTTTTTCATTCTTGTGAATCTGAAAGTATCTGAGGTCTCTAAGAGGTTTGATTATCCCAAGCTGGCTGGAAGTCCCAGCTGGTAAGAGGAAAATTGTTATGCTTCTCAGCAAGCTATGAGCCATTTCCTGAAAATGAAATACTACACAAGAGAGAAAGAGGGAATCAAAGATGCATAGTTTATTTAGAGAAACTGCAGTTAGCATTTGGAAGAGGCTGTTAGTTCATAGGCAAGCAATGTTCTCTGTTTTTATGGGTCCTCTGGAGATGGAAATCTTAACTGATTCTCATCAGTCTGCCCCTTGCCAGAAGCCACAAAGTATATCACCAAGACTTACACATCTCTCACTAAGGCTTATGTATCTTTGCAAAAGACATGCTCTAAATGTGACTTAAAACGTTGGTGAAACCTGCTGCAGCCCTCAAATCTATCTTACTTATGTGCTCCCTGATTCTTTCAGTGATGACAATCCAGAACTTACCAGGAAGTGCTTGCCCTTCAAATGAGATCATTTATGGTTCTATGTATCATATTTCACAATAGCTGAAGGCGGGGAGGGGGACACTCTGACTGCCAGATTGTTCTTTCCTTTTCCAACTCAGAGCACGGCAACTGAGGGCAGCCTCCATAAAGAAGAAAAGATGTCTGGTTATTTTGCTAAGTGCCTTATGATAGTCTCAGCAGCTTTCTTGGTTCAACAGCCTCATTGTTACGATGCAGAATCAAGAGTTGGAAGGAAGTCTTGAAAACTCATCCT